CCATTATTCATTAAAACAATGTTTCATTATGAGAAATATTTATGCTTTAACTGTAATTGGAATTCAACACGTAGATATATATTCGTGCCAGTAACAAATAAAGATCATCAATGTTTACAGGATTCTAAAAGTCACCAGATAAAATAAAATTCTAGCTTACCAAAGTGATGCATCAAAAATTCATCCAAGAGAATCGCCTCCACTTCTTCTCTCAATTAAAACACATGCGCACAATTCCCCAAACTGTGCAAGTCATTTACGAACAGAAGTTCCCAGCCTACAATTACGGATGCGTACGAACCATACATATCTTCATATAACCCAATTGCCATGCACTCTTAGAATCAAACGACAAAACACAACTCGATTACCATGAACCACAGTGCAGTGCCAGGATGCGTTGTTGGTTGAGCAAAGTCGTTGATGGCTTCTGTGGGGTAGATAGGAGAGATTATTTACGAGGTCAAAACGAAACAGACCATGCAGGAGATAAATGACAGTCCTAAAGTAGAGCAGCCATGAATCTACCACCGCGTCACCCTGGTCTCCATGCAGCCCCCTCTGCTGGCCTTCCAATCATATTTGGTTGTCACTATCCGTTGCTCCGCGCTCTTCTCATTGTTTTCGACAGACAAATTACATGCCGACATCACAACTACAAAACGTTCTTTTTTCCCGAAAATGTCTTCAACAACTGTATTTAAAGAAAAAAAACTATAGCCCAACTTGTAAAAAAAGAAAAACAGCCCTCTCAACCTGATAAAATTACCCAACATAGTAAAATACATTTACAATCGATGTCGCCTTGTAAGGTACTCTGAATTGCAGTGGTGGCACAAAATTCCAATTTCAGGAGACAAAGATTCAGTTTACTTTAGCAGGTCAATGTGTAAATATTTTCTCAAGCCAAATATCCAGGCCAATATTTACCTCATCAAGATGTCCATGTAAAGACAGCTATGTGCTCTGCTGAATTGTTTTGCAGCTCAACTCCAGCCATGTTAGTCCAATTGCTAAATTGATGGCGAACTGTATTTGTACTGCTAATTTACCCAAGGCTAAATTTACCCATCCATTATCAGGCAATTTACCTGCCACCAATTATCACCTGCTTGCATGAGCTCAGAGTAGATTAAATCTCAGTTCTACCCATCACACAATCAAATACTGCAAAAAGGAACCCCCAATAAACACTATCTTAATTATTTTCGATATTCGGTACTTGCAATAAATATCATTGTGGAAAGGTTGTGACAAAACACACATTCACATTTATTTCGCTGGCTGTGGTAGGTGGGGTTAAAGGTTAAGCTGCAGTCCCACAATTTTCTTGCTCACATCATTGCTCGCAGAAAGACCTTGACGAGATGGAGCTCTTGAGTCCCTCTTGGGGGTAATTTGGCCTATTCTTCCATGCTGGACAGACATTATAATAGGTGTAAGTACCCACACTTTACCTCACTACACGAGATCTGCCGATCTACCAACTTCGTACGATTTATAGGGTAGGTTTTTTTTCAAAACTCGTGAAAGATGAATAAGCCTCTTGATTTGTGTTATATCTTGTGTACAGTAGAACTTAAAGAGTATGATTGATATTACTTTTTGTAATATTTTTGTAGTACAGTTTACAATGATAACATTTCAATTAAAAATAAACACATTTGTAATTGACGCCTTCGTGGCAATGCCGTGAGGTACACCAGCAAGCAAAGACCTGCTGTAAAATACATCACATGACTCTAACGATTAAATCTGGGTCATAATTGTAATTAGCAGCTACATTCACATAGTAGCAGGCTATTAAAAATATCCTGCACGATTTCTGAGTTTGCACATCCACATCAATTTGTAAACGTACGTGCACAATCATACCAAAAACATCACGTGGCTTTTTATAATTGATCTCAAGTGCTACAAATTAGAGGAATGGTAAACCAGAGCAATATAGACCCCTGCCTCTCGCCAATAGCTCGAATGAAACAATGTTTAAACGAGCTAAACCGCATTTTATATGCGATAATTTCGTGAAATGTCAGGCATGAAATTTGAACATATTATTTTAAAGGGCAGCCCGTTTTTTTGTAAATTAGCATTTCATAACCACCTTTGAATGCTTACAAGTTCTTAGAATGTTACCGTTTTACAGACTTACAGCAACACTTTTACTACCACGAAGCTGCAGAGTATTGAACTGGTACACACATGATGAGCAGATACATGTCATACTCACAGGTTTTGTCTTTGCCATACATACTTGTTTTGAATGGCAGGTCTTCTTTGAGATAATCCAGCGATTCCACATTCCCATGGCAAAGACCAGTGCATCCACAGGTGTACCGCTGTTGGATTTCCCAGAAAGATGTGCACATTCTATTGGATTGAAAGCTGACGAGGATAATCGTCAGAGTCCACCATCGACTATCATTTGATATCTCAACCTTCCGGTTGTGAGTCAAGCGATTTGACCAGAACAATAGGAAAGGTTATTTGTGGGCCTCAGGGGCTGCTGGGTCCTAAGCTTAAATCAACTTGATTACATAGAAGCACCGTGTAATATCCGTGCTGCCCCATGGAACCAAAACCAATTTCAGGTACTTTCGTTTTCTAGAAGCACCTCCCAATGTGTATGAGAAAAAAAGTTAATTATTGCAGTCAGTCTCTCTACCGAGGCTTCACTTGATGCATCAGCATTTTGAATAGCACAACACAGAGAATCAATATTTTCTGACAAAAGACTGAATTAGTTGGCAAACCTCACACAATAGGCCCTAAAGCCAGAATCCTGGTTAAAGAACTGTCAGTCAAAACACTCGCTTAATTTTTGGTTTACCAGTTAGTGAAACAGGAAGAATTTTAGATTTTAAAACAATCAGGAAATAGTTAATAACAAACTTAAGATCAGATTGTCCTGGAAATGCATTATTTACTTTTCGATTTAAAGCTTCTTTCGTGACTGCAGCAGGGATTCATCTTATTAGTTCTTTCGGTAAAGTCACGTAGAAGGGAAATAATAAAATAATAAAAATAAAACTTAATAAAATTTCGATTTAAAGCTTTCGTGACTGCAGGGATTCATCTTCTTGGTTCTTTCGGTAAAGTCACGTAGAAGGGAAGTAATAAAATAATAAAAATAAAACATAATAAAATAATTCTCACGACGTTTCGGCCACAACGCAAGCAGCCGTCCTCAGGTGGAGAACAGGTCCGTCAAGTAGACAGAGTCTGAATGGCACGCTCCAGGCTTGGATCGATTATTTATGCTGGGATGTCAAGACGCTCTTCGCTCCTCCATTATGTTTTATTTTTATTATTTTATTACTTCCCTTCTACGTGACTTTACCGAAAGAACCAAGAAGATCCATTATTTACTCTTTTAACCAGCAGATATATTTAACACTACGCATGAGTTCTGAATATAATTTTCAAAAGCGCCTATAAATATTGTCTGTGACGTGAAAGTGAAGCTCTTTCTTTGTTGTCATGAGGAGAAAACTAATACATTTGCAGGTAATTAAATCATTTCCAGAATTATCAATTAATTAAAACTTTTTTTTAATAGAGTGTGCATTCCCTGACAGTTATTAACACGAACTAAAACGTATTTTTTTTCCTCTCCCTGGTCATGTTTAAATTAGCTTTTGTCAACAATTTGTCACATTTGTTTTCCAACGCAGCTTATACAATGTAATTTAATAAATCAATAAATAACACTTTCCTCTACAGTTCCTCCACATCTGCACTGTGCAATAACCCCCAGCATTCACGTATTATTTTATGCTGTCTTGGAAGAATGCTATTCTTGGACTTTTAAAAAAACATCTCAAGTACTCCAAGCCTATACCTGCTGCACAGAATCTTGCTGATGGGCCTGCGATGCAAGCTCTTCCTGAATCCGATTCATTGCAAGTGTGTGAACTTTTTAGGAGCTCAACCAAGTCAATTTTAAATTACCCGACACAAAAACACCCTCGCTTATCAGCTGTTAACTAAATCTTAAAAAGACTTGTAAATCTCATGAGGTATGCCAGATCAATAGGCTGTTACATCCCATAGTCCAGTGTCCTAGCTGTATAATTAAACTGGAGGGAAAAGTCTGTGTATATATATAAACAAAAATCTCAAGACAATACATCACAATGGAAAGCAATTAAAACATTGTTCAACTAAAATTATACTCTATACATGGAAAACATGTACATAAATTTCGATTTAAAGCTTTCGTGACTGCAGGGATTAATCTTTTTGGTTATTTCGGTAAAGTCACGTAGAATGGAAATAATAAAATAATAAATATAAAACATAATAAAATAATATAATATCATACTTTTATTATTTTAATTTTTATTATTTTATTATTTCCATTCTACGTGACTTTACCGAAAGAACCAAGAAGATGTACATAAATGTTCATCCCTCAATAAAATTGACAGCTGGATGAAGTCCTCCTTCCTAAAACGTTGTTTTGTTTTGCGAGGATTGTTTGATCATACTTCACCACATTGCTCAGTGTGGGGCTGGTGAAGTGCTAGGCAAGTGGCTGAATGGAATCATCCATGTAATCAACCAAATAAACTTAATTTCCGTTTTAAATTACTCGGAATATTTAAAAGCGTCTGTCAATCCTCTGATGGAGGCCTCTCCCTGCAATTCCCGTCATGGGCGTTGTTTGAACATACTTCACCAAAATGGTCAATGCGGGTTGATGAGGGGGGGGGAAGCCCAGGACCAGTTCAGATATCACTCACCACTGATATTAGCCGTGACTCGAAATTAAACGCGGGCCACGATGTTCATAGCGCAACATGCGAACCCAAACAACATTTGCTTCCATATAAGATATTACTAGAATATCCTCACGTCAACCATTTTAGGTCCTCAAATCCACATCGATATGACAGTATCAATGCCACAATGACGATATGTTACGTGATATTTTTTTTTATCATAAAGATCACCTAAACCAATCATAGAAAAAAAGCACACACATAGCTCCTGGGGGAGTTTACATACAAAGTGTTTATCTGCTTTATTATTAACATTCAATACCAGACACACAAACGAAATCAACAAATGTTTTTGTTACTTAAAAATAGTGCTGCAACCATTCATTGTAATTCATCAAATATGTTCTTTGCTTCCATCATTTAAAGGATAGTTTTATCCAAATATTCACACCACGGGTGATGTGCGCAGACAGGAAGTACAGACACGGAGTTCCGGATTCAATACCGAAAAAAGGAAATGTCAGCATCTGCCAGGCCGAAGGCAATCGGTCCAATAGGAGAAGACAGCTCCACTAATTTACAAATTGTATTTTTCCCTTCTTTCAGTTAAGCAGCTCTTCATTGTTCAATCTTGTGCCATTGCAATGTATCGTAGAGACAGGTGTACAGGTATGGTAGTAAATTGTTCTGCTTGTGCCTGTGATTGATTTCCTTAAAAAGATCAGCTTCACAAAGGAGTCTATATATATTAAAAAAGCTGCCCAATTCAATAGTAAAACACCACAGCGATTCTGAGAACAACATTACTTATCCCCATTGTACCAAATGCACCGATATTGATATGACAACAACAATTTTGCTCCCCCATACATTGACGCAGAGCTTAGACCAGTTGAATTCGTTTAACCTCCAAATCCAGATAAGTGTTTAATCAAACACAATTTGAATATTTGATGGAGAGATTATACAGCACTATTTTTAGTGTATAATGGAAATATTTTTGGGTTATATGCCCATTTTCTGAAGTCTGTTGATCTGATGTAGGTTTCGTTAAAATTCACCACAAGCGTGGTCACCAGAGATGTGCCAGCATGTTGTTGTAGTTACTGACGAGCTATCGGTCACATTTACAATGGGAACCACCAACCCGAATAGCAAACCACTGAACATACCCAAATATGGATCAGGCCTAGAGCAAGCTGGAAACTGGAAAATTTAATCACAAGCATGTCGGCGCCGCCAGTTGAAAGTTTAATAAGGCTTGGCAGTAACTCCACCACTGTCTGAAGGGTGCCTTATCCCGGTCTACCATTGCTACAGTGCTGAATACAAAGCAGACAGATAATTAATGTTTAGAATTGTCTTTATTACAGATTAGTCAAAAATGAAAGTTAATGTGCAATATGCGTTCCATTTTGTTTGACCACTTTAATGGGATTTTTGTAATTAATGATCACATTTATATGTACACATCAAATGCACTCAATACGATGCATTGCTTTACACCAATAGTTCCGTACAATACGTAAAATTATTGTACAAAGATAAATTTCAATAGACAATGTTTACATGTGTTAAGTCTCTGACCATCAGAGCTTACAATAGATTTCTTTAAAAACACCTTTAAGAACATAATCGCTTGCAGGAAAACTCAGGACATCTAAGCTGTCACAAAGCATGTTGTGGGCATTTTCAGTTTCTGGCCTGACAGCCATCAGACGGAGCTTTCTGGCATCCATTCAGGCTGATCCTGTGCATTTTTGATAGAATCCAGCTCCTGAAATAGCAAAACCAGGCCATTGATGGAGATGCTTCTCTTCGGTCGAGTGCCCGGTTTCCCAGTGTGAGCGAACATGCCGATATCCAGAGACAAGCTACGTTTAGGTCCAGAAATTGCCGGAGTGCGGGCCAGTTTGTTTAGAGCAATCTCTGGCCAGCCATGCAAGAGCAGCGCCTGCTTTGTCTGAAGAACAAGGCTGGCGTGCTTAGAGTGGCTCACGTTGTCTGGCTTGTCGCGCTGAACGTTTCCCAGCGGATCTCGCTTGGGTCTGCACTTCGTGCGTCGCCTGCGCTTGTGGGCGGCCGGCTCGTCGACATTGCTTTGCGGGGCTGGCGCATTAGAATCCTGTCCCTCAGGGGCAGGCTGACATGAGGCAGATGACTGGCTTCGTGTGGAGTCGCTGCTTGAAGGCTGCCCTTCCTCCTGCACCATAAGCTTGCAGCTGAACTGGTGCTGCTGCTCTCCCTGGAAACCCTGAATCTCTCGGGTGGGCGCATATACGCTGCGCACCTCGGGGATCTTTCCGGCAGATGGATTGGCACACACCTTGTAGCGTATCATGAGGATAATGATAAACACGAGCAAGGAGGCCACGATGATACCACCGATGACGATTATCATGGTTCCCCCGATGAACTGGCTTGGCATGGAGGAGCACTGGATGTACTCTTCTTCAGTGATGAAGTCGATGCAACCCAAAAGCCTGGTGGCTGTCAAAGATGTACTGACGTCATCGTATATAGCCATGACGCAGACATCATACATGGCACCAGAAAGCAAGTTGTTGAGCACAAAGGACTTACTTGAAGATGGCAGCATTCTAAAAGACAAAAGCAGAATGCAATGGCATTTTATGACAGTTGCAGTATTTTTATGGCAATCATTTTTTACCTTAGTATTTGAGAACATCGCAAGACAACCATGAAATCAGCATCAAACTTCGCAATATCATGGACATACATTAATTAAAATGTAAAATTCAACAAAGTGCAAAATGTCAACAATTATAAAATGTTGTTAAATTCGAAATGGTACAGATGGTTTAATTGTAATTCCATGTTTATATTGCCACATTTCTTGTTGTGTTTTACGATTAAGTGCCAAGTGCTGATTTTGCAAAATACTAAAATAATGAATAGCAGGTCTGAAATATTAATGATTTCTGGGACAAGCAAAAGGCGCTCCTGCAATCTGGCACAAATGGATTGTGCAAGGCTGGAGGCCATGTTTAGGAAATGTCCCAGTGTTTTATATTTCACCCTGCAGCTTCTAGCGAATTTATAAAAATAAAATAATCCCCATTACGTAACATAATCCGCACTAATAATAATACAGTAATAATATTTTTTTTAAATAAAGCCAGTGGCCACTGAATATTTAAACAATCCTGCAACCCGACCTCCACTGAAGTGCACAATCTGTCTGGCACACAGCACATAACGCAATTAAGCTCACATTAGGCCTGAAAATGTGATACTTAAACCTACACATTCCAGGAAATACTACATCCGGGAATGAATTGCTAATGATAAGGGTGTGTGTGCAACTAGCATTCTTTATTACTGCAATGACAATATTTTTAGCTAATTCAGCCAATAACCAGATGTATTTCTGCCATCACTTGATTGGCACTTTAAAAGATAAGGACCATTAGGGCGTCCTGCAATTCCAGCACAACCCAGAAAGGGGCCATGGCGGCTGGGAGAATTGCATCTCTTATACCTTAAACATTTTATCATGACAAGAAAATCCATCTTCAAAGTATAAATCATAGACTAACTAAATAATGTTTCAAAAGGGTCAAATGACACAATTATATCAACTAGCAAAACTATTTGCTAAACAATGTATAATGCTCCTGTTGTACTTGTAAACAAATGTATGTTTTTAAAGTGCATGAAAATATCAACATCAGAAGTAGGATGATTCACTGCTGTGGCGATGTGATGAATTGTCATGATTCACAATCACAATTCGCTTCAAGAATATATTATTTTCTTACCACTGCGGTAAATGGTGGCATCTCTAATCGGTGCCATGGAGAATTTCACCAATTACATACAAAGCTTATGAGTTGCATTCCATCAATCCTTATAGCATTCGTTAGATATATTGAAAACGTATTAGTTGAACATAATTAATTAATTGTTTATTCAATACAGCGTTCCATCCCGACCAAATTATTATTGTTTATCACTTAATTACAATATTAGGCCTAATAAGGTTGTTTTATTAATTAATACTGTGGCACCGTTGTCAACCTAAACTTTGTACAGTATGATCCACACGAGGCTGAGATTTAGTAACAGTTAATCACAATTGTCAGAAACAAGATAATGGTGGCAATAAATACATCTTTCAGGAGTTTTGGCAAGATAAATTACCTCCAGCAGAGAAAATTCAGCTCTGAAGATAAAATGAGTTTAATCGCATGGATTTGCATTTTTGTCACACAGATGGTATGGAGGGTAAACAGTATTTTTTGCAGAATATGAAACCAAAAATGAATACCGAAATAATTAACCAACCCGTATTCTTCCTGGCTGATGTAAAATGCGCATTAATTTTTGTATAATACATAAACACAACCGTTAATGGCAGTGTTCTATGGAATACCACGTGAAAATCATCTGTATATCATTGCGTTTATTAAAATGATTAGGATACATTCCACTATTTACTATTGCCGAGGCTAATTAAAAAACATTTTAAAATATAAACATAACAGCTATTGTTTTTGATTAAAAAACATGTTTCTCTGAGATTTCACACATTCACATTTCCTTTCCTACTCATACGTGTTTTTTGATATAAAGTATAATCCTTATAATAGTTGAACAAGGCCGTGGTAATTACACTGCACTATGTAGAGATCAGTAATGGAAGTTTTAGGTAATTGTAGTTATAGTTATGACGTCTTTACCCCCCCCCCACCCCCCCCCCCCCCCGCGTTTTTACAAAGATAACCTAAAACGTTTTGAGTGAAAACTGCAGGTTCAAATTTTTGCGAGTTATTGTTTTGCCGGCTAGATGGGTCATCAGAAGAGCAAAGGGCTCAACAACTGGAAGCATTATCAGTTGAAATCCTGGTTGAGGGCCCATCATCATCCTTTCGGGGTCAATAAAATGTATAAATGGATATTCTAAATGGGGGGGGGGATATAAAAAGTTGTTATCCTATGGATGGACTCACCACCCCCGCGATAGGAATGTGGAATTTCCATCACTCTATCCAGGAAGTGAGCACTGCATCGACACTCATTTAAGCAGGACATCACTGCTCATTAGAGCAGGACATCACGATTGTTAAACACTATTTGATTATTTTACACGTATTTAATATATCCAATCCCGTAAATATAAAAGTGGGGCATCACAGTTTACACAATTACAAAATGCAAATCCGTATGTCAGAGACAATAAATGTGCCTAGTCAGGAAAATGCGTCCACACCTACATGACGCTCAGCATTATTGTACCAATGGAGCAAAGTCCCATTTGCTGGAACTTGTCATTGCAGTAAATCATCATTTGGGAAGAGACCTATTATAAATATTGTTCCTGAAATGAATGCACAGTATTCTGCAGTGCATTGTCTATAGATTTCTGTCTGTGTCATACCTACATTGCAATTGTAATGTTACACGCACAACAGCACAACTGTAATGTCACTTGGATGCTCGTGTTGAAAAACAATATTTATGCACAATAAAAAGGATGTACTCTATAATTAGAATCATCTTGTTGTACATTATAAAGGAATTATTGTATGGCATTACCGTTGGTAACCTTATCAAGAGAGAATGAAAAATTATTATGCAGGATTTCCTTACTTGTAATGGGGTCGTTCTATATGACCATATATCAATTAGTACATAACACTAAAATTAATGTATGTCACAGTATTCAACAGTTTGGTATCATGCAGTAATATCACTTTCTTAATTTTCTTAAATTTGAAAAAATATATAAAAAAAATGTACTCAACTTGTGACATTCAAATATCATGTTCTAATTACTCCATACTTATAGTCGAACGAACACTGCCGATAAAAAAAAATCTAAATTATTAATAAAGATCACATGAGCTAGATTGAGTTAGAATGTCTACAAATTGAATAATTCATTTGACAATAATGTTAAATGTATAATGCCTATGACATTGTTGAACGTAAAATTTGAAGTGTGCAAGCCCAAAAGAAAAGAAATGAACGTATAAATTATATTATAAAAGTATGTTTTTGAATTGTTCATAGTGTTTGAAAGGGAAAAGAGACGGAGGTTGAATAATGTTTGTGTTACATTGAATTATAGCATCCTCTTTGCCACGTAAAAAAAAAATACTACGAAAACTCCTCTTTTGAACAAAGTAGTTTAAAGTAGAGTAGTTTTACCATTTATTTCCCACCAATTGTGCTATTGGCATCGTGTCATGAGATTAAGTATCAAACTGGATTTCCCAAAGGACAGTGTATGTCTTAATTTTGGAGCTTTCGTGACTGCAGGAATTATTCTTTGTTTTTTTCGGTAAAGTCACGTATAAAGATAAAATAATAAATTAAATAACAGCATACGACGTTTCGATTGCAACACAAGCAATCATCATCAGGTATAATGTCGCTATTTCATTATACCTGATGATGATTGCTTGTGTTGCAATCGAAACGTCATATGCTATTATTTAATTGATTATTTTATCTTTGTACGTGACTTTACCGAAAAAACCAAAGAATAAGAACAGTGTATGTCTTTCTGTTAAATAACGGCCCAGAGCAGCGCACATCACCGAGCTACCTGTGATCTTCCATCAATTGACAGGTGGTCCACACAGCAGATGGCAGCACGTTCCTGACCCACTCCGCATTTGAGAGCAGTGTTCATCGCATTACTAATATTTAATTCTCTCAGCCGGAATGCATTCAAGTTAAGTGCAGAACCAAAATTATGTGATGGGAGTTTTATTTATGCAGTAATTCGTGACGGTTCCACCTGAAGACGGAAGCTTGTGTTGCCTCCGAAACGTCGTGTTTTTTTTAATTTTATTTTACTTTTATTAATTTAATTTTTTTACCTACGTGACTTTACCGAAAAAAAACCTAAGAATATGGGCTGAAACCATCAACTCACGACACTTGAGAACTTGGTTTAATGACAGGCGGCTGAAGCCTGTGTTTGAGGCAAAAGTCTCAACATTGCCAACTCGGCTCTGACCTTTGAACCACGTGAACGATGCCATAAAATAACTCCTTAAAATAGATGTAAAATCCCATTCCAAATGCCATTAAATCCAGTATAATTCAACAATTGTTGGTTAATTAATATAAAAAGAAAACTTTTAGAAACAAATGTGAATTTCAATTTCTCAAAAAAAAAAGTTTCGGGTCAAAGCTATGTAATACTGTAAGAGTTATTTGTTTCAACTAAATATGTTATTAAATATCTTACTTCTTAAAATCGGAGAACAAGGTCATGCGTTTTGACTTGGTCTCGCACGCCCTGCACATAAGATCTCCCATACTATACATTAATAGTGTAATGCATTTGATCAAAATCTAATACGACTGGTCGGCCTTATTCATTTTTTTATTGCAATGAGCCACCACTTGTTCCATGTCACACGAGCAAAGTGGATGGATACGAAGCCTTGAGCAAATCCATGTTGCTCCCACCAACCCTGTCTTTATACCACCCATCACCACCTTTCTTACCAAGTGGCATTTCCCAACTTATTGATTATAAAAGGACAAACATGGACTACACACTCATTATGAGCACTTGCACTTTTACCACTGCTGTGTTGCATAATGCAACATTATTCGTACTCACTAGGAATTGGGTTACGGACTACAGCTATGAAGTGCAACTATGGGGTGTAGTCGCTATGGAGCATGCAGATGGTGCAACTGCATCGGGGCCCAGGCGCCAGGCCCAGGAGATGGGGGGGGGGGGAAATTGGACAAGAGACTCCCCTTAATTTTATTTCTTGTGCCAGGACCCATGCCAACCATGCTAGGCCACTGACTGGAGTGACCTCATTTGAATGGGTTAGTTATATGAAGAAATACAACAAATTTGTACTCAAAATAACAATAACATGCTTTCATGGGAAATGCTTGACTGTAAAAAATTATATGTTTTAAAGTTGGCACCATACGGCCTCGAACAAGGCTTCTAGGTCACTTGGTGCTACGTCACACGATCGACATCTTGACTTGCCTATGTGCCAAAGGCAAAAGGGTCTAACCCTCAGGAGGTCCTTTCAGTGAAAATGGCCTAATCAGCAGCTCTATAGTAACGAAATATGGAGTCATGCCAGGTGTTTTTTTTTCCTTTGCAGTTTATTCGCATAGCCTGCTTCATACGCCTGTTATATGGCAGAATAAAAACGTAACATCTAGCTGTATTAGTCTTGTGGCCAATTCTTCAGAAAATACAGCAGTAAACCTCGCTATATGGTTTTCTGTCAGTCCATTGATTGCAATGGATAACACCAAACCACAAAATGATTGCTACAATATATAACAGAATGCTATGGCAACCTGTCAAAAAAGCTTATTTCCCAATGTAGTATATTGCAGTACATATTCCGTAGTGGTTCTGAAAAAAATGCAGTCAACTGTTTTTCTGGCAGCAATGCCATTTGTGATGGGGCACATAGACGTCCAGCTAAATAACCCTGTGAAGGCGCGGGCAGTAAGTTATCAAATGTATATAATACATCAGGTGGAGGCAGATATGAGGCCAAATTTGTTTAAATTAATAACATGCTTAACCTCAATTATATGATTGTATAAAATGGTGATCAATGCATGAAGCCATATTTCCCATCAAAATCTAGTTGTGATGTTTTCCCTTTGCATCACTTACTAAACTGCACATACATCAGCTGTATGGTAAAACAATCATGTTGGACTCATTAATAATTACACATTGCGACATGCTTTAAAGCATCTGGGATTAAAAGTGGCCCAGTGCATGAGCTAATGCCCTGCTCAGTGCTGTGATAAGGAATGTAAGTGGATGCATGAGATAAAAAAAAAACAGTGTGAAAATAAAAGGGATTATGGATTAAAAAAAAACGTTTGAAATATGTATTTTTAAAAGTAAAACCAGTTATGAGTTATATGCAGAAGTAATTCAATAATATCCAGACGATTAAATGGAATATTGTAATATAGCATTCCAACTGCTGACTGAAAAGAGCTTCGGTGATACTAAGAGAATAGTTATTTCAATTGCATAATTTAAATGCCCAGTGAGCATTTCCCCTTGGTGGCCCATTTCCATTCATGAAAATGGCGAAATGAAAGTACACTGATTTTAAAACCGATACTCATTCCCATTAAAAGACCCCTTGAAACCTTAATTTGTACTCTTTTCCACCAAAATACCATCCATTAGGATTCACTTGAACTTGCAAAGATATCGGGAGAGAAATACGTGAGGAGGAATGATTAATCATCACTTTTCTGCTACATTTTCAATCGATAAAACAATTCCAAAATATTTGGACAAGATATTTTCAAAATATTCACAACAAAATCACATTGGCATTTGATTTGTGTTGTGATTTAACATATTAATGGTATATATGAGCATTATTTGTGACCATTTCTGCAGCAACAGTTAGCCAGTCAATTTCATTTGGAGTAGTTTTTTTTTTACACGTAGGCATTCACAACCAATATTATTGAGAATAAAGGTTTTTGGGTTTGATCGAGCACGTATAATGTGTCGTAACCCTACAATCAGTAAGGGATGTCACATAAACAACATGCGCCAAAAAGTTACATCAGCCCACCGGTATGTTGGGGAGTAAATCCACAAAATTCACAATTTGAGTACAAATTGTAAATGTTGTGAATTGACGCATTTTGTTTATGTGACAAATCCCTTACTGATTGACTGTGTCGGGTGATGGAAGGTTACGACACATTTATACTTACGCGATCTAACCCAAAGACCTTTATTATGAATCTGGTTAATTTACTCAAGCTATCCTAAAATGAATACAATGTTGCAAAAATATTTATTTTTTTGCAATTAATCACATCGCAGGATCATGAGAGATGGTAGTGACTTTGGGAATCCTTATTCCAGCAGCAGACTGACCATGGCTGCTAATGATAATAATTTAATAACCTTTAGCTCTTTAACTTGTTACACTGTATTATATTATTGATTGTGATACATATCATCAGTCTTTTTACGTGCAGTAATTGCAAGCGTTTAATGTTTTGACTTGTTTTAAAGTGAACCTGAGAAACTGCATTAAAGCAAGCAATGTACCAATATATTAAATTATCTCAAATAACCACCATGCTCAAGAGTGAACTTGTACTTCTTTGTGTGATGCATCTCATGTCACAATGAAAACTGCGGCAACGGACTAATCTCATGCAAAATGATAGAAGATTCATACCTGTACATCAAGGTATCATCAGATGAACTGTTGTACTGTATTTGGTACATCCGTACACTGGGAAGCATTTTGCTGGCAGACCATTTGATCACAGCGGAGTTGGATGTGACATCCAATGCTGCCACTCTCCGATTCTGAAAACCCTTTGTGTCAGAGGCATTATTTGCCGCATTAGCTGCAGGCTTAGTGGAGCCAGTGATATCAGAAGAGCCTGGATCTGGCTCAGGGTGAACATTGTGAGTAATATTGCTCAGGTGAGGAAGGTGAATTATGCTAAGCTCCACAAAGGTTGTGGATTCACCAGCAGGATTCGACGCGATACACGTGAAGGTTCCATCATCCTTCGTAGTTGTAACTAGAATCTCCAGGGTGCCATTGTCATGGACGACTGTTCTGGTGGTGTTGGAGATAACCTTTTCATCAGGTGAGATCCAGTGGACCCAGGGATCTGGGTCACCAATAGCCTTGCACTTGAGCGTCGCTCTCTGGCCTTCCAATACTAGAAGGCGATGAGTGTGGCGAGTTATCAGTGGCGGCTCACAAACAAACTCCTCTTCTGGGATGGACCAAAAGTACTTGCCTACCAAGGCCTGTGGAGAAGCACAGGTCTCCAGGTCATCCTCTCGTGTCAGTCGGCGCAGCCACAGCAGCTCGCAGTTGCAGTGCAGCGGATTGCCCCCGAAGTTGAGAACCAGCGGAGGTGTGTGATGAATGCCCTTATTCGCAAACAGCTGCAGGCGAGTAAAAAGTGGATCTGGGGGAAGCTTTTGAAGCTTATTTGATGTCATATCCAATCTGGCGAGCTTGTGAAGATGTGAAAATGTGCCGGCTTCAATATAATCAATCATATTGTGATCAAGGCTCAGTGTGTGCAGCGATGTCATTTTTTGAATAGCTTCCCAGGGAACTTTCTCTAAGTTGTTGTAGGCCAAATCGAGGTCTTCCAGGGACATCAGAAAATCATCGAAGGCTCCAACGGATATGTCACTAAGCTGGTTGTTGCTTATAATCAGGTGCCTGAGGTTGGAAAGGCCTTTAAAGCTTTTGTTTCCAATGTGGGTCAAACGGTTGTAGTCAAAGTGCAAGAAGGTTAAACTGCTCAGGTCTGCAAATGCATAAGGGGCTATTTGGCTGATAGTGTTTCGGGAGAGAGTCAAATCCACCATGAGAGTCATGTTGCCAAAGTCTTGCCTCCGCACGCTCGTGATGAAGTTGTCCCCCAGGCGCAGCTCAACCGTCCGTCTGTCGATATTGTGTGGGACAAAGAGGAGCCCAATTTTAGCACAAACAGTGCTCAAAGACGGTGACAGGTTCTGGCAGATGCAATGCGTCGGGCATCCGAGGGACGCGGCCACCAGCCCAATAACCAAGAAACAGAGCTGGGCAGTTTCCATTGTTTATCAGGTGAGAAAATCTGTGTGAACACAATGAAAAACACAGAGTTAATAAATGTGCATTAGTCACGTACATATATATAATCGGAAAGATTCCACAAAACGAAATAGTTTTAAAAATAAAACATGACAACATATCTTAAAACCTCTAAATGTCCATTTATGTACAGTAAATCGTAATAATATCAGCGATGTTCTTGGAGGGAACAGTGATTAGCACACTTCACTATGAATCCATCAATCCGAGTTTGATAATTATTGGACGTGGCTAACATGAGTGGCAAGTGATATCAGTACTGGTCCAGCCCCCTCTCCACCCCTAATCAGTCCCCAACCCCCACCCCCCATGACCTAGAAGGCATACGTATGGAGGCTTTCACCCAGCAGTGGGTTGACAAAGGGGATGTAATGTGCATGCCCAGAGTTAAGCATGAATGCCAACTCTGTGATTTTTCTCCAATCAACTCTCTTGTGTTCTTGTGAATCTTGTTTTTAAATGGTAGTTACAGCAAATATGTATGACAGGTCCTACATATTCCAGATCGGCTCTTGTGAATTTCCAAAAGTGCATGCAGAAACTGAATGTCTAAAGAGCAGCTTTAACAGGTTAACACTGGCACACAGGATCTATACAAGGTGCCACAGCAGATATAGTTCCAGCAATAACTCACTTATCAGAGATCTCTGGCATTGTATTTCAGTTAATGAATGTCGTACAAGACGATAAGGATAGCTGCTGTTATCTCCTTGCTGGTACACAGAGACAAAGTCAGGTCATCTGATTGGGGAGGTGTAATAATGGATGCCGTTTGGTGAGGCCCTTTCTTATGAATTTGCCAAAAAATTGTCACAATCAGTATAGTGATATAAAAAATATTTTTCAAATAACCTTTAAGAACATTTAGTCTTTTAGTTGCATTCATATGATATCCCAAAACAACAGAAGGCTTTGCTTTTTTATGGACTCAATAGCATACGCATGTAAGAATATAGATATTTTCTGATCCTAGACTTAAACCACATTATTATTGGCAGATAAAAAGTCAAAATAATATAGGTTCATTAGACAGAACAGACATTGGTACCATACGAGTCAGGGTCAAAGAGAGAGATCGGGAGAGAATAAGACGGCAACTCACATACGACTGAGAGGACCTCGGTTGACATTTTTTTCTGGGCCTCTGAAAATCTTTCCATGGCCATGACATGCGTTGTCAAATTGTCAGTTGAACCAGTTTGTGTCTAATAAAATTTGTTCAAAAGAGTAAATTACCACCATTTTGAATTGTGATTTTTTTTTTGTAAACAAATTCCTTTTTTGCTGTGGCAGGAGGTAGAAACATAAATATTTGGTCAAGGACAATGAGCTATTTGGATTACAACCCACTGTGGGATTGGGTAACTGGTTGTTAAATAGTGAAACAATAATAATATCTCAGTGTCTGGAGATTTGTATTTTTATTTCACACGTCTCAGCTGGTGATTTGTATTGTGATGCGTGTTACAATCAATGACAATCGTTAACAATCATTAATTGTCTTAATTGTGTTTTATAATGAAACATCAAATAAGTACAATAATAACTATCTTGTTTGAAATAAATGTAGTTAGTTGTCCATATGTCGCAGCTCAGCTTAGTTTACCAAGATGAACAAATGCACGAAAACCAACAGGTATTTTTGGTTTTAACTGCAAAAAAAATGTAGTGTTTACGTCCTAGTTTTTACTTGCTATATGAATCCAGTAGGCAAGTGACTTTAACACTCATGGACAGGCATCATGGGCACAATTTATAATTGCACAGGACAAGTCAAATAACACATTTATAATTGGTCTGCATATTACTACTATAAATGAGCCAAGAATGTCGGTTTGTGTGTAACGCGTGACGTCACTCCACATGCCGCACCCCTCCCACCCCCCGTCATTAATATTCATGAGTGGGTGGATTTTTACACTCAAGCAGAAGGTCGATCGGAAATACTTTTTTTTCGCAAATTCGCTTTAAGTTTGACGTTTCTTTATTGAAAGTGAATCTAATAAATAATTCTACGCAGCAACAAAGTGGATTTGGTGTCTTTGTTTCTTCAGCACTTGAGACAAAAAGGCAAGTCTAATTTATGCTTCTACATTATGGTAAAATCGACATTTCTCGGTGATTTGCCAGATATTTTATCGAATTCCAATTTATTTCAAGCCCAGTGACCGAAAGCATAAGAGAACAAAGTACCAGAGCAGTGAATTTGAACAAATTGAAGGTCAGTTATATACAGTGCTACAGTGACATGAAGTGGTGTTTTATGACGTAGTTTTGTGCAATAATCACTGCCATTAATACAGTGCTACAGTTAACTTGCAGTGAAGTGTTGGATGGCATTCTTTCGTGCAAGATTCACTGCCATAAAATTTAGACAAGATACAATTGCATTTTTTTCGTAAATATTACAGCTTCCGTCCTAGGACGGGCAAACAAGCTAGAAATTAATAATGCACATTTTGTAATATAGTTTTAATTTGAATAAATCACACATCAACATTGCATTAATAGGTGATGACAGAACAATTTGAGTTCAAATAAAAATACCTAATTTAGCTTTATCAACTTGTTCTCCTTTAGCTTTACGATATTAAAACATATCATTCATAATTTAATTGCATTGCCACGTATATAACAGCAATCTCTTACCTAAAAAGTAGATGCATTATCTGCAGTGGTTATTTATACATCATGTACGAGCACAGTATTTTTTTTTATTTAAAACATTTTTTCTGCTACGCAAAATGTAAAGAAAATATGATGTTCTTCGTGTGCGTGTGTAATTCATAGTCATACAGTACATACAATAGTGTCAGGTGATGTATTGTGCAGTCATTGGTGACTTGGCTGAGACCATCAACTTGCTGTTTTATTACCAGAAAGGATACAAACCTATTCTTATTTTTCATACTTTGATCCTGGAAAAAAGGTGCCGTAGATATAACTGCTCAAGCCGAGCTATAAATGCCCTGATACGTGCATTGGTTTTCTACTGTTCCCCTTGTGGCATTCTCTGGTCTGACATTGTAGCTTTGTCTCACCAAAGAAGGCTGCTGTAGGCCAATCAATTTCAAAGACAATGCATATATTAATAGAGCATGTTTGCTTGAACGTTTTTTTCCACAAGCAGTGCAGACTTTATTCCTTGCAAAAGGTACCTATTGTTGTTTGAACATCTTACCGCCTGTTTTATTTCCAAAACCTATTCTTATTTTTCATACTGTAGGACCCTGTTTAATGCGGCTGTCTGGATGCAAACTCAGGCATCAGCAATGCCAGCTCAACATATGCAAACTCGTATTATCATCGTGTCGATAATTCCTCTTGTCCACACTAAAGCATATTCCTTTTTATCCATTCTCCAGGAAGTGACTCCCGTTATCGACACAAAGATCAGGAGTCACCTGGTGGTGGCAGTACATTCATCCTAGAATCTGCACCAAAGTGCCCCTAAGAGGACTCGATCAGTCCATGAAAACACAGATTGCAGAGCAGATCTACAAGGTTACATTTGGCATGACATAAAAAAAATATGGCAGGCATGTTGTTAATGATTTATGATTATGATGGTTCTGCTGTTGATTATGATGGTGGTGAGGTGATGGTCGTGATGAGGACAGGAAGTAAAATGACTTATGACCATCATCATCACGCTGTCACTGAAACGTCATGATGTTGTCGCCACTGCACTAAATGAACGATATTAACGTCAATACATGAACAGGAAGGCAACATCTTGAAGTGATCACAATCGGTGCTATATTCACACTATTCAATCTTAATTTGAAGCTTTCGTGACTGCAGGAATTACTCTTTGGTTCTTTCGGTAAAGTCACGTATAAAGATGCGTGTCCTCTCTCTGTGTATCTTTGTGATATCTGTCTGCTTATATGTTTGTCTATAGTTTTCTGGTTAGATTGTTGTTGCTATTTCTTTCTTTTATACCTGATGATGATTGCTTGTGTTGCAATCGAAACGTCGTAGTATGCTATTATTTAATTTATTATTTTATCTTTATACGTGACTTTACCGAAAGAACCTAAGAGTAATTCACACTATTATCCACACTCAAGCACAGATAACAGGAATTACCCATCAATAGGGGTAAGTTCACAAAATTGCCTGCATTTCACCATGCTTGTTCTTGGTTCTTTCGGTAAAGTCACGTGACTTTACCGAAAGAACCAAGACTATGAATCCCTGCAGTCACGAAAGCTTTAGATCAAAATGTAACCATGCTTGTTTGCATGGATGGGAGGAGCTATTTATGCAGATACACCGCGGGGTAAAATAATCTTCCCACAGTGCCCTACTGTATTCCGATGTATTTGCTAAACATTAAATTGGGGGATAACATGTCTTGAAAAAAGCATGTCATGTATGATTGGTCACATTTTTACTATACAATCGTAACATGTTTACATGTTCAAATGTGACAAGATACCTCTATCTGTAAGATACGATAGTAAAGAACATAAACTTTAAATTAAATGATAAGCATGATTTTCATTTGATGCCAAACCTACAGATATGCATATCAGAATCTTTTAGATTGTAAGAATCTGATGAGCTATGAAGATTTGTTTCACAGATGTCCAGAAGGGGCAGGGATCAACATCATTTATAAGTGAATAATGAGTTAGAATTTAGATTTAAAGCTTTCGTGACTGCAGGGATTCATATTCTTGGTTCTTTCGGTAAAGTCAGGTAGAAGGGAAATAATAAATAAATAAAAATTAAACATAATAAAAGAAAATTCTCACGACGTTTTGGCCACAACGCAGCTTTGTTTCTTCACCCGACGACGGCTGCTTGCGTTGTGGCCGAAACGTCGTGAGAATTTTATTTTATTTTTATTATTTTATTATTTCCTTTCTTCGTAACTTTACCGAAAGAACCAAGAATAATGAGTTTGAAGTTTCCAAAAGCACTCATACCTAGTCTCGTCCACATTTTTACTTCACTATTTTGATCCCAACCAGC